CACAGGAAAAGACAATCTCACTTCTCTCACCCAAGAAGGGGCAGAATAATCCCCGGGTGAGAGAAATTAGCCCAGGGTTAGTCTGCCCTGAGAGCTGAAGACAGAAGAAGAATAGCAGAAGAAGAGGCAGGAGTGGTAGAGTTTCCCTCCCACCCCAGAAGACACTGTTCAGCGAACATTTTATATTTTATACTGCATTTTGATGGTAGAAGAACTATTACCACTGGCACTGTTTAATTCCTGTAGTAATTGATTCCTTTGGGATGTCTCCTGAATTTTTGGAAAACTACCGGTTAGATGGAGGGTAGGCGCTGTGGCTTAGTTGGTCAAAGTACCTGTCTAGTAAACAGGAGATCCTGGGTTCAAATCCCATCAGCGCCTTTCAGTTACACTGCTTGATTGATGTTGTTGAAAAGCCTTTTTAAAAGTGATCAAATGGCTGATTGGTCATGCCTCTTAAGCAAGTTGATTTTAAATGTTATCAACACAACTACAAGAAACTTTGTGCTGGTTTGGCTTTGCACTTGAACTTGTCAAGGCTCAAGTCAATGTTGTAAGCTTTTAAAAAGAACATGACAAGGCAGTTTGCTACAAAAACATGGTAGGTATACCAGGACATGTCTCTCATGAGGTCAAAGCACCAGACTTGTAAATAGAAAAAGCTTGTTTCCACAAACAGTAGTGCCTTGTGGATGTTAGAAGAACTATTGCCACTGGCACTGTTTAATCCCTGTGGTAATCGATTCCTTTGGCATGGTTCTTGAATTTTTGGAGAACTACCAGTTAAATAGAGAGTAGGCGCTGTGGCTTAGTTGGTAAAAGTACCTGTCTCGTAAAGAGGAGATCTGAGGTTCAAATCCCAACAGTGCCTTTCAGTTATGAGAGGTGTTTTGTTATTGGACTTCTGTGCTAGTCACGGATTGTCCATAATGAACACCATGTTGAAGCATAAAGGTCTCCATCAGTGCACTAGGCACCAGGACACCCTAGGCAGGAGGTCGAAGATCGGCTTTGTTGTTGTGTCATCAGACCTTCGGCCACATGTTTTGGACACTCGGGTGAAGAGAGGGGCTGGGATGATAGGACTCCTTCTTCAGCTTGAAGAAGGAGACTGTGGTTGGCTTGTGGGACTCCTGAGATGACTGACGGGTACCGTGAGGCCAAGCTTGCCGCGGCCCGGGCTATGGCAGAGGCAAAAACTCGGGCCTGGGAGGAGTTTGGAGAGGCCATGGAGAAGGACTACCGGTTGGCCTCGAAGCAACTCTGGCAAACTGTCTGGCGCCAGGCATTCCCTGGTGGAAGCAGAGGCTGGGGACACGAGGTTGGACTCTTTCATCACCCAGAATGAGGACTTCAGGGGTGGATGAGATCCATTCTGAGAACTCCAGTCACACATAGCACAGAGTCACCATCAGTTTCCGTAGTGTAGTGGTTATCACGTTCGCCTCACACGCGAAAGGTCCCCGGTTCGAAACCGGGCGGAAACATCTTTTCTGTTACATAAAATATCACTTCATTACTGTCAAGTTTATTAATGCCACTTTATTTATTACAATTTATACTAAAGTATATATATATATATATATATATATATATATATAGTTTATTCATTTCATATTTTTAGACCACTACACTACAGAAACCAAAGCATTACTAGTTCATCATGTACGTGCAGTTTCAGGTCCAAGATTGAGCAGCACTACTCGCGTACAACCAGACAGACAGAAGGCGTGATAGCCTGGAAGAAAGGCCAGGTCTCCAGATCTAATCACAACGTCAGAGCATAAGGATTTGAGAAGCTTGATCTAACACTGTCAAGAGCCCACCTTCGCCACTGTGCTCTCAGCTCCTCGTTAGTATAGTGGTGAGTATCCCCGCCTGTCACGCGGGAGACCGGGGTTCGATTCCCCGACGGGGAGAGCTAATCCTTTTGTAACCAAAACCTTTATTTGGGCTTTGTAAAAGAACAGAGGCCTGAATTCTACCCCTGAACCACCAATGCCCCCATGAATACCAGTTAGATGTATTCCTGCCAGTTCCTCGTCAGGGTGTGTGTAATAATTTTTTGTTCCTTCACCAATATTTGCTGCATTTGTAGCTGTGTTACATTCCTTAATTAATCTGAGACCAACAGACAGGATATTGCGCAACAAAATGCTCTGTTTGTGGTTCGTCAGAGAGGAAGTTTTCTACTTGTGCTAAATCGGTACATTGTTCTTGATCATGATGAAATATTTTTGACTAAGATTTATTTGATTAAGCCACTATGCCGGCATATCTACACGCCCTTGAGAGCGTCTGGGATGCAGTGGCTGGGTGCATGGACAGAGGACCAAATTAACACACCATGCCCCTTCAGCTCCTATGAAGATCCAAATCACTGGTGTGGTATCTCTGTGTCTGGCTTCGGGATGGTGTTTATTCATTCCACTTGGTTCACAAATAGTGAATTGTCAAAGTGGAAAATACAACTGTATATATGTGCAACACCAGAAGGAAACGGATGAAATGGGTTCTGTGGTTCCCTTCGTGTGCATCTGTCAGCTCCTCGTTAGTATAGTGGTGAGTATCCCCGCCTGTCACGCGGGAGACCGGGGTTCGATTCCCCGACGGGGAGAGCATAGTTTTGGACCTTATATGAGGGCTGCCGCGTTTCTTTTTTTGTCCACTTTTCTGTTTTTTTTTTTTTTTGAGAAAACCTTGAACCTTATATGAGGTTAGAGGAAAAAAAGAAATGTTTCTTCAGTCGATGCTGTCTTTGGAATGTTGCAGCTAGCCTAACCTTTGTAACAAAAACCTTATTTGAGTTTTGAAAAAGAGAAAAGTTGCATTGGCCGGGAATCGAACCCGGGCCTCCCGCGTGGCAGGCGAGAATTCTACCACTGAACCACCAATGCCTACGGAGGCCAAACCCCACCGCGTACACCCAGAGAGACATACGAAGGGCCAGGTCTCCAAATCTAATCACAAGGTCAGAGCACAAGGATTTGAGAAGCTTGATCTGGCACTGGGGACAGTCCCCCTTAGCCGCTCTGTTCTCAACTCCTCGTTACTATGGTGTATGGCGTCGAATTCACGCCAAAACCCGATAGGAGCAATAAATAAGATCACGAGCAGCTCATTTTAATTCCAGGAGGGCGTGGATTACGTTCCATGCGCGCATTGGAAGTCCCACGGGCGCACAATCCAATGACCACGAGCGCTACTCTATGCTGCAGGCACAAAAGTCAACACAGGCGCGCCAGAGATGCTCCTTTCTGTGCTCTCGGTGAATCAATCTGCTCACGCGTGGATTACTCCTGCGCACTCGTGTGAATCATTTGGCTGGTTTAGAAGAAAAAAAAAAAAAGACATTTACCTGCCTATGATTGGCCATTTTTCCGCTATCCCCGCTATCCCCGCCCCATGACCCCTGTTGCTAACCGTGACCCGCTAATGCAGCTGAGATGAAAACAGGGGTCACGGGGCGGGGATAGCGGAAAAATGGCCAATCATAGGCAGGTCAATTTCCTTTTTTTTCCTAAACAGCCAAATGTTTCGCAAAAAAAAAAAAAAAAGCATGTTGCATTGGCCGGGAATCGAACCCGGGCCTCCCGCGTGGCAGGCGAGAATTCTACCACTGAACCACCAATGCCCACAAGTATCCAGCCACACAAACATTCACATCGACCCTTGCTCGTCTGGGTGTGAGGAATATTTTTTTGTTTGTAGTTGTGTTACATACCAGAACGACAAGCAGGACACAGTTGTAAACATAAACACATCTAAAATGGTGTAAGAACAAGGGTAATAAATGCATAAGTAGAGAAGAGTAAGAAACGCTTAAGTAGAAAACCTCGTGTTTGCCTGTAAGCATGAGAGATCACTTGAGCACCAGTGGTCAAGATGGTGATATTA